AACCAGTAGCATGTGTATCATTACCTGAAAAATAAGGCCAAATCTCAACCGATAGCGTACTCTTATCATTTGGCTAACATCTCATCAGTCCATTGTATTAGAAACAGGCTTGAATTATAGGCTTTATGTACATAAAGTTATAGAAACAATCAATTGTAAATGTTGACTGCTAAGTAGTTTCAACAATTTAGTTGATGATATAAATTATTTGATGTAACATTGTCTTAAAGATATAAATTTAGTCGTCAACTTTGGGTTTCTATTTTTAAACTTTATTTAAATTGTTTTAGTTAAGAAAAACTTTTTAGGTTGAAATATGAATAAGGATAATATAGGTTATTTGTCTAAGGTTTTATGTAGTTATTCTATAAATAACTTCAATATACATACATATATAAAACTTCATTAAATAACAAGCTAAATCCAAAAAATTGTAATGTATGATGAGACTATAATTAAGATAACTTATTGCATTGTTCTACATTAGGGCAAGCCTACTCAGAAGTTTGCAACACTTATTTCCAAACTGATTGATTGAACTGAATAGTTATGAATGCTTACCATATATAATGATCTACCACTATAAAATGGCTTACAAATTATTGTGGTGTTCAATACAGGAAACGTCGGGTGGAAACACTGTAGCTATTTCCATATTTAACTCCTTGTTTCTTTTTTGATAAAACGAGCGACGAATATAGTAGAGCTTACGTATTTACATATTATGGATGGAAATAATCATCATAATCCCCATTTAAACATTAAAAACACGAAGTTTAGCAAAGGGATCTCTTTTCAAAGAATTTGTTGTCAAGCTGTATTTTGTTAAAGTATTAGTTCTGTGAGGAAATATGAACAAGGAAAAAAGATGATATGATGGAAAAATTGTAATACTAGATTACGTAATATGAACAATAACAGTAAAAGATTGTATGTATATGTGTGTACAAATGTACATCTTGATAATAAATTTTATGGAAAGAGATCTCTTCGCTGAACATCATATTTTTAAAAATAATTATATCATATGAACTAGTATACAACCCCCGTTATTGTATATGGATGTCGAAAACACACAAGTGTTTCTGAACAATTGCAACCTAAATGAATTCCAAACAAATATCTATTGAAATATTGGACTTCTCACTGAAATGAAATTAATAGTATTGAATAAAGCCATCATTATTACAAACTGAGGAAACATTATCTCGTTTATTTAAATTAGCACTATCGTAACCGAATTGAAGAGTTAGAAGATGAAGCAATAAGGAAAAAATTAATTGAACAATTGAAACTAAAAGATGATGAGATTGAATGCTTGAAAAATGAAATACAACAATTACAACAAGAAATCAAAAAATCAACGATTGAAAGAAATAAACCAGATCATGAAGAAGCAAATGATAGGTAACTTACCTTCTTCATCACTAATATATATATATATATATATATATATATATATATTTGTTGCAGTACTTGTATACTTAACTATATTGACAGAAAACATCAATTTCAGTAATTTATAGATGATGTAGTCCTTGGGATGAATTCGTTTCAGCTTACGATGTTATACGATACTTCAACGCAGCAAGATAATAAATCAACAAGCTCAGCAGCAAAAAATTATAAATAATAATATCCATTAAGATGGAATGAAAAGGAATTTTAATTTAAAAATAAACAGATGAGATGGAATAATCAAATGTATGGAATGAGACTAAGGATAGAGGATAAATACAACTATCCGATTGTCAAGAATTCTGGGTCATGAAATCCCAACAAAACCAGATTACGGTATCGTGAGCCAAAAAAAACGATATTCACAATTATTAATACGAGCCATCCCAAAAGTCGTAGGTTTCATAGTTTGATAGAATGTCTCAGTGTTGCCAGTACAATGCTTTTTAGGACCTAATTTCATAATAGCTAGCATAAGGTGACGGTGAACGTGTTGGCTAGATATGTGTTACACATTTTTCAACTATATCACTCAACAAAGGTTTGAACTTTTAAGTGACTTGTAATGACCAACTATGACTACATATAACCCAAAAATTGCTTGACTAATCAGAGTTTCCGACTTGAACGAATAATGCTTCAAAGACACCTATAATAATCAAATTGTAACTTTCTACACAGTCTTAATAGACAACTATGCTACAGAAATCACTTTTACTGTAAGGCTATATGTTAGTGATTAAGTTTAGTTAACCTGATGGGGGAATATTAAAAATACGTCCCTACCATGTATGAGTAGAGATCTGAAATACACAATAAGATGAGAAAAATATCTATGCAGTGAAAACATGTAAATTTTAATTTAACATAATCTGCCTTCACATTCATTCTACATGATATATTTAGAAAGCATAAAGATCTTTCATCTATTCATCAATTATTATATTCACTAAATCATAATAAAAATGGTACAAATGATTTGGTCAGTCAACAACCAATTCGAATAATTACTGAACTAAAAGCACGGATTCAACGATTGAGAGAAGAAAATATGGCATTACGTCGGCTACTGTTACGTCGACCACTTGTACCGGTAAAGCAATCAGATCAAGAAAGTGAACAACGACCATTTTTTGTAAGTCATTTTTAATTTAGGTAGTTAACTTCCAATTGTGGCATTATGGGTATCATATATATATATATATATATATGATTAGCTAATTTTTAATGAAAAAACGAAAACTAATGCAAAAATCGCAATTGATATCACTATGAATCTGTAGATGGTGATTACGTTATATACAGATTCGTGTAATCGGTCTTCAGTCTAAATTTTTGGAAAGATAATGATAAAATACAGCTCCATCAACTGAATTGAATGTGCTGATTCTCGGTCTTCGACTCAACTGTTGAAAGCCGAGATATTCGCTCATCACTCCACTATAAGTAATCGCTGATTTAGTTAGTCTACCCTAATTTAGTAAACGGATTATGTACCGATAGTTTTTCTTTGATCTACTTTATAATAAGTAGGATTGTCAATGGTTTATATTAAAACATACCACAAAAATCAGATGAATTTAAAATTTTGACCCAAAGTTCGAACAGAACTATTAGACGGTTACAAACTACCACAATACCAGCCATTCCCGTTGAAGTTGAAGATGAAATTTATTGATATATGTCAACAAGCATGAAACTCAGAGAGATATTCACACTGACTGCTGAAACATTCAATACTATTTGCAGTACAGAATGATTAGCCTGGTAACTGAATCATATTTACTAATATATAGACCAAATGTCAGGACTTATCATGAGTAGTAAGTAAGAGAATGGATGAAGAATAATCTACACTGATGTATAGACAATATCATTGTAGAGCAGTTTTAATAAAGTCGCAATACCAGTTGATGCATTAAATTATACACTACTTACTAATAAAATGCTACATGGTTGAAATAGCATTAACTGTCGTCGAATTTCTGAAATTATATCCCAAGTCGCGATACCTCAGCATAGAGGATACCTGACAAAGTCTATCCTATGGTTTTTTAGGAGCCATAGCTAGTATGGTACAATTAAACCATGGAGATGGAATTCTCCGTGAATCTAGTTTTTATTGAGAAGTAAACTATATGCAGCAATAGCTAAGTATAATAATTATGACGTCTGACTGACTGCTGAAGAGCCCCACACTGGGACGAAACGACCGTTCGGCGCTTCCAGGTCTTCAATGATGGTCTAACATTGATACATTCATGATCTCAATCAAAAAAATTTTTATTACCCTATAGTGATGAATAATAAATGTACAAATTCTAAGACAGTTTTTCTTTTACAGAAACCATCCGATGCACAATTCATGCAAAGACTGAAAAGTAAAGGGAACTCAGAAAGATTTATATCGAAATTTTAATCATTTACGAACATATTCATGAACATTTTGATTTTATTACGATCATAATATTTCTTCAAAATACTTTGGCTTGGAAAACTTAACCAAGATTATTAACATCGGTTTTTTTTCTTATGGCCGGTGAAAGATTCTTGTTTGATAGAATTTTGTTTAAACTTCAAGTAAACTGTTAACTTATTCACACTTATTTCTAGAGTGGATTTAAACGAAATAAAAATAAATCATCCTTTTGTTTACGATGAAGTTGTTATTTTTCGACGTCAGTATGATAATCGTTTCACAGTCAACCAGACTTGTTAAACACTAGTTTTCTTCATTAAATGATAGAGGATAAACAAATAATGCGATAGATAGAAAATAGCCAAATATGTAGCGTTAAATGACAAAACAGACCAATCTCCAACATTAAACTAACATTTTTCAAATATATACATCCACATCTTTTAAGCAACATTATTGGATTACGAAGTTCGCCTGCATATTATTTAATAAGTTGAATCTTAGTGAGGAAATAAGATAAACAGTTATCAATAAATAGGAAATTATGGCATCTTTCAAAATATCTGATGGTTAGACATGTATAAACCAACCTATTCTTCATATGAATATAAATCATTGTGCGGAACAATAAGATGCTTATTACAAGTAACCAATTATTTGGTCAAGCAAATTTACCTTCATATAACTTTTATAGAGATCAAGGAATCACATGAAGGTTATTATTAGTTGTTTAAAAGGTAAATCCTTTTCAGAAAATTGGCTATTTTCAATAAACGACCTGGAATATAAATGTATATTCGGAATGATAATAGTTTTTCAGTATTCTTAGTCAACCACTTAATGAATAATATCTCCCTTTAACAAACTGAGTTTGCTGTTTTATTTAATATTTCTCATATTATTTGACTGCAGTCTTCTCAGTCATGTGGTTTTTATTTCGATCAATTATGTTAAACTGTAATTTTGCCTCGAAAACATAATAGTTTTGTGTAGGTCGCGAGAAGTCAGTATTTGTTGTTAAAGTAGGCGTAAACCTATTTAGGAATGTTTTAGTAACATTTAATTTTATCTAATACTCGAATACGTTAGCAAAGGATGACAGATCTTCTAAGCAAAAAGTAGTAATAATAATTATCAGTTTATATGTAGAATATATCTGTACATAAAAATGCATATTCACAGATTGCTTTTATACACATGAGAAGTATGTAAAAAGTATATACAAATGGTATATAGATTAGATTATAAACCATATTCTGCAAGCATGTTACGTTTGGCCAAATCAGACGGTTTTGTGCGGTTCATAGTTTGCTTCTTCTGGGGTTTATCGAATGATAAAGCAGATGAATACCTGTTTTTTTAATATTTTTCAAAGTGAAGTAAAAATATGAAGAGATTTTTTGATTATTCATGTAGATGAAACCACTTTAAATGAAATATTGTACAAAAAGAAACACTAAATTCTCGTAGAATATACTGGCCCAAGTCCGTAACGTAATGCGAATATGTATTATAGTACTATTTAAACTTGGATTAATTTTAATTTGGTTATTTATCTTCTGAAGAAGTGACTTACACTAAGTCACGAAACGTCAGAAAATCTAATTTTCTACTCATTGGGATATTACAAATATATTATTTACTGATAACAATCTACGCAACGCTCAATTTACTCGAAATTATCAAATCAAACTTTGGTAATGATACCTACATGTATTATAAAGCTTATAATTAAAGGTTTTCTATACAAAAAATTTAGATTTTGATTATGTTGTCTTGATTTAGTTAGATATTATATCTCAACACACTCTCACGCTGTCCGGCATAACACATTTCCATACGCCATTTCCCTTATTAAAACATAAATACACTTCCAATGGTAATCTATTATTGATTCATATATACCAACAAAAGAATATTAATTGGTCAAATACATATAACCAAAACCATCTCTAAATGAGTGCAAACTTTTCTACTCTAGACAATAGCACAATTCAGACAGAAATATCGACTAAATCTCTATAATCCCATGAAATGTTGATGTATAATACTAATTTGAAGTAATGAATTCAGCAATATACAAAGGTGCATAATTTTTCGAGAAAATAAAAGTATTTTTTTAAAGAGATCAGCCACTTCACTTGGGTTGAGCACGGTCTTACGTAACCGTCAAGGCGTTGTGGGATTGAATCTCGAAAGGCACTTAACTGGCATGCTACAAAGGTACCAACCGTAGAATAAGTGTTCGATCGATGCATTATTATGTGAAGATTTACAGCAGTTTATGTTTACTTCAACTTACTTTGGTTTTTGTGGTACTATGCCATCTTCATTCGAGCTATCAAACCCCCGTTTCTTTCCTGTAGAATTCTTCTGCCTATCAGCCTTAACAAAACGACCTCTTACACGAGAAGCGACATCGGATGGTTTCTTTTGTAGACAGAATGCTCTAGCAACATGCCCTAGGTGAAGACGTTTGAAAGTGAATATAGGTCGTAAGTCACCCGAAAAACTTGCATAAGAACGTAGAAATGATATATAGGCCAATTCTGAAAGTGATGTCAAAGTGTCATCATTGTCTACAGCATGAAGAAACAAATGAAACAGCTGACTAGTCCCCTCTTCAACTGTTGTACAATCATCTGGCTAAATAAAATAAAGGTAGGATAAAGAGGTAGTTTACTGTCATTGTTCAACAAAATTTACTTAAAGAAATAAAGTCTAGAATAACAAATAATATATAATTAATTTAGCTAAACATGAAAATATTAAAATGGGAATGTTGTAACTTGTCGTTTGAATGCTTACTGTCTTGGCTCTTTTAATGCTACTTTTTGTATCTGGTCGTCGTTGATTGTTATGTTGGAAACGCTTATCACTTATACTCGGAACGAGGGACCTCTGCAGGAAAGATATGACACAAAATCAATTTTTTTATACGAAAATATTTTGATTGAATCTCTGTGTAAGAAGATCGGGTTTGGAAATATTTAATCGAGAGTTTTACGCTCACAAAGTTAAATCGCTTAATGTTTCATACAAACTACTTCAGTTGGTTATAAAAGCCTATTTTCCAACAACATTATTAGATGTAAAATATTACTTCATATATTTATTAAAATCGAAATAACTTATGCCCAAATAAGTTGCTTTTTCTGTAAGGAGAAATTCAGTGGCATTTTTATGGCATCTAATGATGGCAATGGTTGCACTAATCTTAGTGATTTCAATAACATCGCTGATTTCAGTGGCGTTTATATATTTAAGTTAGACAGAATGTTAACTAGCTGACTCGCTTTATTGATTAAACCAAATATAAATATATTCCTTAGAAATATAAGAAACATGTTTAACCAATGGCGGGCTCCTCGTTCCTTAGAAAAGGGAGATAAACATTGGCTGGTAGGATTTGCTTACTATTTGGCCGGAGTTTGATTGGCCCACTAAATCATAGTCATAAAAGCAGTTTACTTTAATACATAAATAAATCCAAAGTAGATATGAAAACATACCCTTAGCTTCCCAGGATGCTTAGTATTCTGTAAATGGAAAAGAACGGTCTGAAGTAGATCAGGCAAAATTATTTCTTTCATTTCAATTCCAACTTTTGATTTTAAGAGGTTCATAAATTCAGTTTCTTCAGGTTCTAGGAAAAGCAATGCTTTACCATGACCCCCGGCTCGTGCAGTGCGTCCAACACGATGTACATAATCGATAGGACCTCCCGTCACATGGTATTGTACAACCCAAGCAACTGATGCTAAATCCAAACCTCGACTTGCAACATCTGTAGTGATTAGAACACCAGCTTGACTAGATGAAAAGCTACTGAAAGCTGATTCACGTTCCTTAAAATAATAACGGTAAATTAAGAGAGTAGGCATGTAAATTGTAAGCAAAAAACATTGAGAACAGAACTATGGTAAATACCACTCTTTGTAGTCAGTGAACGACAAATACAAACAGGAGATTTGATCAATACATCCTTTCATAGCACTGGGTTTTTAACGACAATATTTGTAATGACAACTTTTCTTAAGGTATACCTTCTTAAAAACTTAAATGAAGTGAGTTGCAACCACTGCAAAACTCAAAATAGTGAGTTAGATTTTATAACTTTTATTTTATTTTTCTCATTTGTGTTACATCCCCCTTTTTATGAACTCATATTGGTTTCATTATATGCAATCATTCTTTGTTGTTCACTTGCTTATGATGTAAGTCTTCGTATACTGAATGGTTACGAAATCGTGTAAGATTAACTGTCATTTTTATTTCTTTAACCTATACAAAAGCTCTTGAATATGAATACCTAATAGCCAATACAGTGAAAATGATTTAAAAAATTGTCACTAAAGACTACATAACCTGTGAAGGCGTTTAAAAGTTTACATAATTCTTACTTTATGTTCCATGCTTCCATGAAGTCGGTAAATCGACAGATTCATGACAGGTATATTAGAAATAAGCTCCTCAGATTCATCGCATAATACTGATTTGAATAGGTGATAATGAAAATCCACACAATCCTGAGTTGCCATAAAAACGATTAGCTTCCCTCCATTTTCATGATACTGGAAAAAGAAATAAATTTTACTAAAGAATACGGCACAGATTTGAAGATCACATGTAGGCACATCAACTTATATAACTATATAAGTATGGTTAAATCAAATAATTATAGAATCACATTGATTACGAATGTATTGGGTATTACTAAATTGATATTAACATTTAGCTATTCCCTATGACCATTCGAAAATTCGCTACGAAGATCCGTCTAGTTTGATTACTTTGAAGGCAAGGACAACTTCAGTTTTACGGGTGATCTCCATTCATTAACTAAATAAGCTGAGTAACTTAATTTCTAGTGGTAAGCTTAACGAGATAACTCCATTCATATTAACAGATGAAAAGTTTATTGACAGTTGAAGTATGTAAAACCGAGGTATTTGAATACATTGCTTGACGGGCACCAAAGATGCTGTTGTTTGGAACCTTTACATAAGGAAATATTGTTATTAACAATTAAGACCCAATAAGAAAATATTTTTAGTACCGACTTGTTCCATCTTCATGTTTTCGTGTTAAAAAATAGAATTTATAGAAACAACCTTTCAGGAAAAACACGATGCTGTCACTGCATTCCGGTTTAGTAGACAACAGAAACTTATTTCTGTACCGTATATTGAGGAAAGTCTCACACCAGGATGTGAGCTATTCATTTTGAAATGGACATGATAGCGTTAAGAGTGGATTCGTGTAGTTGAATCACTTGACCTCCAACTAGAGATATCAGCTTCTTTTGCATATTCTCGATTCGATAGCCAAGTAGAATTTATTAACATAAACTTAGATATGATTTATTGAATCAAGTGAATTAATTCATTTACCAGGTGCTTGTATATACGTTACACCCGAAGTCTGAGGGGTAATAATACTACTACCTAGTTGCTCAAATCGAAGTAGGAGGAGGAGGAGGAGGAGGATTCAAACCTGACATAGTGGGCGAAGTCCGAACGGCTCGACCACTAAGCCACTGCTCTGTGGTTAATGAGTTACCTAATACAGAAAAAAACTAACGAGTAATATTCACCGAATAAAGAAGCATGGAAAACCACTTACTTTGCATTTTAGTAATAGGAAAGCTGCCAATGAGACAAGCCTCAGTTTCCAAGGAACAATTAGTGCAAAATGTTTTAACCCTGTAGGAAGAGCAAATTCAGCAACGTTATTTACTTGTGTATTTAACTCTACTTCAGAGGCTTTCGTTATAGAAAGTTGGGTATTTGGAGCTTTTGTTTCACTTTCTGCAACCACGCAACGTACAGGATTCTTCAAAGTCATACCAGCAAGAGCTTCCACTCCTTTGGTTAGATGGAAAAAAAGAAATAGAAGTCAACAGATATTTGTGAAGAAAAATAACTACAATAAATAAATTTATATCCTGAACTTTAGTGGAACTTTTGGTTGGTAATAATATGAACAATATATTGATTAAAAGCATACACTGAAGCTCTTATCAGAATATTTGGATATTTCTGATGAACAAGGTATTCTTTAAATGAATTATTACGTCATAGTGACAGTATACAACAAGTGATCCCAGAGAGAGAAACCCAGTATCTACTAGCTACGAGTATTATGTGGTTATTTATTTATATTCTTTGGAAACATCATACATATGATACCGAGATATGAGGCGATATACACTAATTTAGTGGAAGTTTTTGCCTACAAATTAGGTAATCTTGTAAAAGTAGCTAAGATAGAGTGGATAGATGTTTTACGAAACTTTCTAGTAGTTTAAACGCCCTGTAAAAAATCCATACAACGCTCACTTCGTCACAGACGTAAAGTTTACATGAAGGAAAGTGGATGATAGTTTTGTTGAGCCAACAGAAGAAAATGTAGAGACTTGGGATCGAAACATAAGAGAGCCGAATTGTTACTTACTTTTCTCCCAGGTCAACAAAATGAGAACTATGAAGAGTGCTTTAAAATTAGATTTATCTAATTGTTTTCACTTTTTTACAACTGACGAATAATATATCATCATATGCATCTCTACTTATAACCTCTTTCTTTCAGTTACTCAACTATTTTTCCTTTAGACAAAATAGAAAGAAGGTAGGAAAACGTACCCGGAGATAATGTTGCAGATAAAAGGACGGTTTGAATTTTTGATATGGATTTATTTTCCGTCGAAAAACAATTGAACTGCTGCATTAATCCCTCAACAATCTGTCTAACATCTCGTTCGAATCCCATTTCTAACAAACGATCAGCTTCATCTATTACTAGCCATTGTATTCTCCGAAGATCGAGTGTGGACGTATGTCCCATATGATCAAGAATGCGCTTTGGTGTACCAATTAGAATATTGATACCCTTTCTTAGACTGTTTCAAGGGAAAAATTAGTAAAGAGAATGAGATTTACATAAAAGATAGAAATAATATCAACATTAACCTTAATAGCAATCTTTAGTCAAAAAAGCTTTGTGCACCAGCTCACCTTGCCACACAATATCAGCACACCGAGATGAAATTAAAATAAATCACACAGTAGCAGAATCGGTAAATGTATCAGTAGTAGTGTTAAAAAGTAGGCATGGACAATACAATTCGAGAATAAATGAATTAGCTCCATAAAGCATGTAAGAAATGATTAGAACTTCAAATCAAAGGGAAGATAGAGAGTGAATGAGTCTGTGTCATCCCAATCGAATCCGCCCAGGTTAACAAACGTCTCCAACCACTGGTTACGATAATCATGCAAACTCTAGCGAGATAGTCTGGACCAACCAATATAACGCAGACCACCAATCAATGATATTATGGACTGGTACCACGATTTGGTTTTGCCATCCTTATTTTTCTTCTTATATTTATTTTCATGCTTGTTAACATTGCTCGTCAAGGTATAAGTGGTTGGGTATACGTGAAACATGTCCCAACCACTTCAATCGAGAAAAATTCACTACCTCATCAATCGGTTAGACATCCTCATCCTACGTTCAACCTTAGTATTGCTAACTCAACTGTCCCAAAATACAAGGGTATTCTTCAAAGAAATGTATGACAAAATACTAGCGATCTCAAAATATCTATTTCTAAAGACTATACGTCACAACCATAGAGTAAGACAGAGTGAATTTCTGAACGGTATAATCGTCCATTGATTGGTAGACAGACATTTCGCCTACTACACAAGTGAGGCAAGCCTTCTGAATATGTGCCTAAATTTTGTTAGACACCAACCAACCCACCAGGGCTAATAAAACTTCCAAAATAAGTGGTCGATACACTAATCTACTTCATTCCCTAATATTAATTCAGGTGTTGACTCAATGTCTTCATCAAACACGATTACATCATCTATTGAGTGGTGGCTCAGTGGTTATAGAGTTCGACTTCTAGCCATTAAGTCACAGGTTCGAATTTCGCTCCACCTTCTAAAGTTTGGGCAACTGGTTAGAATCACCAGCTCTAAAACTCAGAGTATGGCTCGAAGCGAAATACACAAACCTAGATCTGGTGAGCGAGTTAATAAATCTCCCCGTATAAGATCAAGTCAGACAATGAAAGCTTTGTCTCTATGACAAAGCTAAATAAAAATGGAGGAAGAGGGTAACGCTGATGAACACCAGTTAAGAATTCCGATAACAATTTGCCATGATTCCGACTTGATTGGTAGTTTTCGAAAAGAGTCTGAACAAGGTTGATGTATTTCCTTGGCATACCTTACAGTGACAGACACTAACATAAAACAATTTTGAAAATGATTGATTTGACTGGATTTACCCCACATATTTTGATTAGTTTTATTCCATCTTAGATTTATGTTGTAGTCAGTGCCTGTAGAAATTGTACATATTTGATTACCTTATAGTCTTTTTATCGTCAAGTAATCGTAAATGTCAAGATTAACGCTCGTTGAAAACATTATAGTTTTACTTAACTAGTTAGAATTCTGTTTACGAAATCGAAAAGACGAAGAGCGAATGTCCGGCGCTTTAATCGGGTTGGTGGACATGGAGATTTCACTTACGAGTTTGAAAACTCTGATTCCAAACCAATGGTGTACATGGGCTCCAGAATCCTGAAGGAACAAACGGCGTATGAACCAACAGTTGGTCACCGGTTACCATGGAACTGCATCTCCTTACGTTGCTTCACTGCCTAATGGATCAGACCTTTAGGTCGAATGCTCCGGGTGTGGTCCCCTAAGAAAACCACCTGCTTTGGTTTGAGCACCCGGGAAATATCACAGCCCACACACAAATCAAGTGACTTGTGTGGCACATATGTATTCGGTGCCTCTTTGTACCAATATTTGTGTGTTCAAATAAATAAATAGAATTCTGTATACCTGGTTCATGAATTTGAATACATGAGTAATAGTTTGACATTATAATGATCTTAATTGAAAGACCATTTTGAGTTGAGTTGCAAGTGGTTTCTGTCACGAAGTGATATCACTTGAGATACCACTAAGAACCAAAACAGTTGTTCAGTAGACAGTATCTTAACAAAGCACTTAGAATATAGTATCACAACAGAATACTGAATTGCTGATAATGGTTACAGCACAACAGATAAACAAAGTTTGACAACTAATACAGTTTACTACCCATGAACACATAACTAAAAGATTTACGTAAGATAGTATGGCTAAATAGCAAGAATTGTCACTAAAAAACCATGACGTAGACCTCGCGGTCAAATATTGACTAAACTAAACTGGAAGTGATCTGCCATGAAGAGGATGGGGTAGTATTATTTACATCAATAAACATTAAGGACTGTATACGAAAATCTGAAGATAAGGATATGGAAGAGTGGTACTGCAGCCTCTTAAACAGTCAGTCAGTCAGTAACAACGTAGAACTTCGTACGTACGTACATCAGTTCGAGTTGCCACACCACATTAGCACAGAGATGCAGTGGTCGATTCAAATCCCGTAGTGGTAGAGGTAGCAAGAGTATAAGCAGTAATCGGGAAGATTAGGGTTTGGAGATGTTATTTAAAGAGTATAATCCAGTGAAAGAAATTTGGAAAGAGGGAAAAAGGGACATGAAGAATTCAGAAGATTAGAGTTTGGGAGAACACAGAGAGTGGATGCACCTGCGCCATTGCGAACGATTTTGAGCCATGTCATTCAGGGTCTCTAACCATCGGTTGCTGTCATCTCGCGGTCCCCAACCAGGTAGTCTACACCTACCAACATGACTCAGTTTACTTGTCAGTGACTTCATGGACTTGAGCCATGTTTTGGTTTGGCCGCCCCTAGCTTTCTTCCAACCTACTCCTATACCACTGAACATAGCACGTCGAGGCAGTCGGTCGTTGGGCATACGTAACACGTGTCCCAGCCATCTCAACTGATGAAGTTTCACTACGTCATCAATTGATTTGCCATCTTTACCTAGTACCCGTTTCCTAACAACTGTGTTACTTACTCGATGGTCCCATGATATACGAGCAATGTTTCGAAGACACCTATGATCGAATACTAGTAACCTACGGATATCCTCTACTCTTACCGGCCATGTTTCACTGCCATAAAGAAGGACGGAACGAACTGCTGCGCAGTAAACACGTCCTTTGGTTGATAGACGGATATCTCGCCTACGCCATAAATGACGCAAGTTGGCAAAAGCTAGTCGAGCCTTCTGTATCCGTGCTGAGATTTCGTCACACACCAAACAGAACAGTTTTAATTATAATACACCAACAAGGTAGTTATCAGTGATCAATATGGTCATAGAATACAAAATCTTCGGGATACTATATTCTGAAATACAACATGCGAAAAAGAAAGTCAGTTTTAACATCGCATATCAATTTAAGGTGATTTTCGTTCAGTCAACTACGAAGAATCCTCGTGACTTCTATTCATATACTTTCAGTTGTATTTTGTCTTTTGATTCTTAATTCATTTTTCTTGTAATGTTCATTTCATTATGATTTATACTCGGTGATAATGACTCAGTTAATAAAAATCTGCAATCAATAATCGCTTATATATATCTGAATTGACTTAAATATGAAGTCAATCTTCTTTTGTCTCGTCTAATAAATCTTTTTAACAAGATTTTTATTTTGGAGTAAAGAAGTGGATTGAGAGAGTAGGGCTATCGTATATAGTATCGTAGTTATCAAAATAGTTATCGAGTATATCCCACATTCGTAAGAGAAACTGATAGTTATTTAGTTGTTATTTCAGTTCACGTAGGTACAAAATACTTTTAATAATCCACTGAAAGCTAAAAGTAGTAAAATGAAGTCTGTATATTATTCAGAGAAATATACCTTGCTTTCTGTGATTTTCGTTTCATCCCTCCAACCAACAATCCTGGAACAATACGTACACAAGCTTGAGACAGAATTTTGAAAACATCAAATGTTTGTGTTGCTAATTCTCTTGAAGGAAGAATTATTATCCCTAAAGGTCCATCTTTACGTTCGACGGGAGGGTCAAGGTTAATTAACCGATCGAACAGTGGGACTGCATATGCTAGAGTTTTGCCAGATCCTGTTTGGGCACGTAATAAAACATCTCTTCCATCAACTAAAGGAGGAAGTGCGGCTTCCTGAATAGCGGTTAGATGGTCCATTTTGAAACGGTTAGTCAGGCAAGTAATCAAATGTGGGAAGATATCCAACGACTCACATATATCTTTCCAATGCTTCGAAGAAAAAACCGGTTCAATTTTGGGTTTCACAGGTTGGCTAAATAAAGGCAACCACAGTCGAAGTAAGAGGTTGAGCAAAGTACTTAAAAAGCGTTTAAAGTCATAGTAATAACAAAATAGGAAAAAAAGAGGGTTGTATTTACTGGGTCACACGTGGTGAGGCTGTAATTGTAGAAGCAGTTATATGACACCTCTCTGTAGTCGGACTAGCGGTCGATTTGTCTATATTGCCAGTAGAACTGATGGTGTTCATACTTACCTACTAACACACCGACCAAGACCTTAGCGCTTACTGATCCTCGAGCCCAGTCTAAACTGGTGTCCCATCAGGAGACGAAAATAGACAGCACATTACTTCTCTGTTGTACTCCATTCAATCATGACTTGAAACCCATACCCACAATGTCTGACTACACAGCAAAACAATTAAGGAATTATAATATGTAAACAACTTAGCCATAACTGAAATAAAACTGGAATACCAGAGAAATTATTAGTCTATTTGGAACAAGATTTACGACGATTCATACACTAAACAAAAGCTTGGGAATAGGGAAATATAAAACACAATACGAGTGTTTACTAATTGTGCAATAAAGATATAAATAAAAACCTTTCCTACGATGGTTCCACATGTTACACTTCCACACTACTGGTTCAACTATACCAAGTAGTAACAAAATATCACAACTCCACTGTTTGATCATAGATGTAACTCTAGAGAGTGGAAATAAATCACCAAGCATTGTTCTGGACCACTAAAAATCTTTTAGAAACTCGTACATATGTACAAGAAAAACTTGATATAATATACCCTATTAGGAGTTCTGCTTGAAAGGACCATATGATAAGTCTTGCAAATTTAACACTATATTCGTTCCCTAAGCTATTCTGTAACCCCCAAGTTAGAACTATACAGCGACCAGAACAACGAGAGAGAAGACGCGAAGTATGCGACAAGTACTTTACTCCAAGGTTCGTTTTAACACAGAAAATATAGGGTTTTTATAATATTTTTAAATGTCCTTGGGTTGCTCGAAGATTCTGGAATGCTACTAAACATGGCAGCAGTATAGCAACGGGCCAATCAGAACCTCTACATGTGACGTTTCACTTCCTTGATATTTTTGGCTAAAACTTCAAGTGAACGCTGATTGGATGAAACGCTTCTCAGTGTTTTCTGATCCTTGCTTGTCTTTCGCAAGAAATTTTCTGGATCACTACAACACCATGTCACATGTTAGGTGAGAATTACGGTTCCTAAAAGCAGTCGACAATCACTTTCGGTAACGTCCAGTCAGTCCGTAAACTAACTATAGAAGTCAGATGTTTGATCCATTAAAACGGCATGGTCATAACCTTTGACTCGTTATTTTTGATAACTGGCACAATCTTGAAGAAACTGCCCTGAGTACAAATCACAAAGATACATAGGTTCAGTAAGTTTGTTGATAGCGGGACTGAACCTAAAAAAACTAATGCTAGATGAGAATGAGGACAGACAGATGCTATAAATGAAATCAAACGCGGTTTAGGATTGGAAGATACATGTCCGTTCAGATTATTTACTCGAAGATCATAAGAAATGAGACTTTGAAAATAACTGACCAGAGAGTAGGGAGAACTTAAGAATTTAGAGTTTTCAGGCAATTATATTGAGGCCCGATTTTGAGTCCTGCATGAGTTGGACAAGTGATTCACCTGATGTACTGAGCTCATCCTGGCAGGTGACTTCTTTTTGAGTTACATTTATAATTGGAGCGAGATTGATAGTTGCTTTGTCGTACAAGGATTTAATGTCTCATATATCACAACTCCAACTAAGTCTTTCAACTGCAATCTATTATAGATAACGTACAGTACGTCACACAACCGATTCTGCATACAAACCGGCATCACTGACCTGTTTTAAGAAATCATTATGACGATGTTGCAGAAATTTAGTTCTTACTTTTGTAAGAAATCTGTAACACCGGTGTCGCAAAGCGCAATTTTATAGTCCCTAATAATTCTAATCTATGCCAATGACCTTACGTCAATATTCTTATTTGCAGGTACGTGATATAACAGTAAGTAGTGACACTGATAGATTTGAGCTCCAACCTTCTTCACTTGGTCAGGACGTTGAGACTGGCAGAATAATTCCAGAAGTGCGCTAACCTACGCCTATCACGGTAGCAGTCACCAGAACATTACTAATAAAGCACCGACCTCGCAATTTAAAGTGCAAAAAGCTCTACGAGTAATTGGCTATAACTTCCTCAACTGAAAGAATTCTTCTGGCTGTACGTTTCCGTTCCCTCCACTATTATTATTATTACACTACCATACACTAATCCGTGGTCGTGATTATTCTTTTTTTTCTTGTATGCACCTTGCATTTTTTTCTCTTCCCATTCCCATTGTTTTGTTTGGCGCATAGATATCTGGTGTCGCCTTGTACCAATATTTGTGTTCAAACAAATAAATGAGGCTGACAAAATAAACTGCATAGTGTGGTCATTCCACAAACTCTTCGAATACGTAGATGATATGCTTCGTACTTTGTAGCATGAGATTAAACGGAATACTGTAGTTGATCAGCTAGAATATGTTTTGTTCAAGATTATAGCTCTTGGATGCACCTAAAACGTCAATAATCGAACTTCCCACTATTTCTATGCAGTGATTGAAAACACCTGGACCTATATCATACTTAATGAGACGATATAATATGCGAAACTACGACCTATCGACGAGGCATACAGATATAAGATAACAGGTCTTGACATCCATTCATTCATTTGGCTAAATACCATTTCATCAACTCGTGATGAAAAAATTAAGTCACACCAATCTATAGTCCTCATTTAACACCAGCAAGTAGATCAACATTCCAAGGTAATTTTAGGGCTGCTCAAAGGTAGTCCATAAATTATAGTCTCATTCAATACTTATTTTTGAGAATAACAGGTTAACAGACGAAGAAGCGCCATCAACGACTCCTGTCTCGACGTAACATCGATTTAAGCACATGCGAACGGTTATCAAAGTAATCCTAGTTTTATAGAACTTAAATAGTAATCTCGAGAAAAGTCAGATAAACTTATGAGACAATACAAACATGTTGTTACCTCATCATTGTATGTAACATAGGAGTCTCAGTCATTTTGTTGTGTATACCAAACTGCAAGGAATTTTTCTCCGGCAAAGACTTACGGCCAACACTTGTTTCTTTCTTTTTCTTCTGAATAACAAGTTCATCCTTAGCTGCAGTATGTAGAGGAGCATAAGATGAAGTGATTGAGTTAGATTTCTTACGACTTGACGTGTTCTATTCAAAATGACTGGGTGTTGGGCAACAAATTACCTTACACTGCTTTTCTTGACGACCACTCGTATCCAAAATATTTAGGATAAAATCATCCATCGTGACCTTTCGAAAACCTGGAAACCAAGTCAAGGTCACCTTATGGCAAACTGGATCTTTTAAACAAAGTTCTGATAACTCTCTGTAGTGGTAAATAAATCCCCAAATCGGCATTTCCGTGGGTCCTCGACATTTAACGCTGACTTTATTCATTTTACTGGACACGTGTAGCTGAAGGTGCTCGGTCCCGCATTCGCACCAGACCACAGTTGGGTTCGGTGTGTTAAGCATCCCTTTCAACTGCTAGCCAGCTTGAACCAAACGTTCCTCGAAATACTGATAGCCTTTCAAATATATATTCGAACTTCTTCGATTCTGCCTTCTGACTTGACTGAGTTAGCAGACTTCGAATATTAATGTGTTACTGGTAAAGGGATTGTCAAACTACAAACTATTGTGACATCTTTATATTTTCTATTTTTGGAATGGACAGGAGGCCAGATGATTTGAGTTAGCCCTCAAAATGGTGTTCTCTCAATTGACCCAACTTTTTGGGGGGAGGGTGGACAGGTGAAGCCTCAAGTGAAATTGTAGGGCCACTGAAATGTCGCTGAGCCCTAGCCAAATCATCCGGCAGTTGGACCGCTGAATATCTAACAGATCATCGATCCCTGCCAAGTTTAAGGACTACCAATGCGTATTAGTTAATCGTAAGCCATGAACTGACTCATACGGCGGTGGTTTGACTTTCGCTTGTATCTACTTTACTTTGAAAATACCACAGGTATTCGGAGTTTGACAACGCTTTTGCCAGTAACACCTAATATGAAGCGTACCCACTAAGTGAAATCAAAAGACAGAAGCGAGGAAGTTCGAAGATATACTTGATATGCTACCAATATATCGAGCATTGTCTGATCTAGTCTGGCTAGCGATTGTATTAGATGTTGAGCACGACGTTCCCACTCGTGATCTGGTGCAGATGCATGACCGAGCACCTTCAGCTAGGTAAGTCCATTAAAACTAATCTGGTCAGCATCCAATGTCTAAAACTTACAGAGCTATTTATTTTGGGGATTTATTTACCTCTACAGATCACTCCTCCCCTAGTGGGGTAGTGATGACCCTAAGACGTGGCCTGCCAGAAGTTTAAACCCAACGAGTTTTGTCGTTGGTAAACACTCTTCTGATAGGTTGCTAGGTTGAGCAGAGTCTGGTCGTCTTTCCTTACTATAAGGGACCATGAAATACAATATACTAAATAAATAATGTACAATGAAAATTTTTGGTTCCTCGTAAACCTCATCGTTCTTTGTATCGTCTTTTCCAGCCATCCTGGAAAAGAAAAAAAAAGATGTAAGTGCATGTCGAAATAAACTCGTACGCGCTAAAAGGCACAAAGTGGGCGAAAAAAAGAAAAAGTGTAAAAGCAATTTTCACGAAATGTTTTTTAAAAAAAAACACATTTTAAATATACATATTAGCCAAATAATAATATATAAATATATGCATATTAAAAAACTTTATACATAATGCCATGGAAAATCGAGATGAAACCAGATTTTGACTGATGTCTTACGTGCAATAGTCATTTAAATGTTCTGGAAATCTTACTCTTCCAGAACGCGTTGTCTTAAGTCTATTTTCAAATACTGTCGAAGTATCATCGTGTGTGTTGGTTGTCGGATGAGGTATTATAAGTGTCGGAGTCGTGTTGTTCGATTGTACCGAAGGAAAATCGACATGGATAGGATTCTCCTCTAAATACGCTGCTTTGAGGCGATCGATGCTGATGCTATCGTTTCTTCCGTCGTTGTTGCGAGTCTCGACATACGAAGACGTGTGTACTATATAATAGGTCAGGTTGAACAAAAGCATTGGCTGATCGAGGTCGAGTGGAAGCAGGTTTAACTGGACGCATTGCGTTTGTAAGCCTGTTCGTGTAGGAGGTTAGATCCATGTTCATTGAAGAGGATGAAGGATCCACGAATTCTCCTGGAAGTCGAAGTGTCGTTCCATAAACGAGTTGAGCCGCAGTGTATCCGAAGTCAGCTTTCACAGCATTGCGAATACCTAGTAAGACGAGTGGAAGAACGTCGGTCCACCGTGAAACGTCTGCAGCTGATAGTGAAGCTTTTATTTGTCGGTGAAAGCGTTCTACAAACCCGTTTGCTTGTGCGTGGTAGGGAGTCGTTCGGAAGCGAGTGGTTCCTAAAATTGTGGTCAGACGACGGAAAAGTTCAGATTCAAACTGACGTCCGCAATCTGTAGTGATGGTTAAAAGGCATCCGATTTTTGCTATTTATCGTTCGACGAAGGGGCGTGCCACCGTTTCAGCAGTAATGTCCTTGATAGGTACTGCTTCTGGCGATCGAGTGAAACGGTCTACGCAGGCTAAGAGATAAGAGTATCCATTTGAATCTGGTAAAGGTTCTACCAAATCCAGATGAACATGGTCGAAAAGAGCAGCGGGAGTTTCAAATGAGCCTAAGGGGCATTTATTGTGTCCGATAACCTTAGATTTTTGGCAGCTTACACAGGAGCGTGCCCGCTCCCTCACGTCTTTATTCATGCCAGGCCAGCGAAAACGTTCTGCTATAAGCTTGATGGTTGCACGAACACCTGGATGAGAAAGTTTGTGCAACGTATTGCAGATGTTGCGTCGATAATGTTTCGGCACGATTGGACGATCCCTACCTGTAGATGTGTCACACTGAGGTTTTGTTACCTATTCCCATCTGTTTGATGCGTAGCTTGAGGGTCGTAGACAATAACTTGTGCTGAAGATCAGTGTCTTCTTTTGAAGCTGGGCAAGTTTCAGAAGGTCGATTCCTTGGAAACTGTTCAAGGAAGTTACTCGAGACAAGGCGTCTGCGATTACATTGTTTGCTCCAGAAATGTGTAAACTGCGAAATGTAGTCCAGTTGTCGAGACTCATGAGGCGAATACCTGTCTGAAGAAGAGCTTAAAGAGAAGGCATTCGCTATTGCAGTGGCTTCGGATAGTAGGCTATTTGATCTGAACATCACTGCTGGCATAACCAAACGCAGCTATTTTTACTAAACCATTTGAAATCCGCAAGCGTTAGATTCGTGCAAATTTCGTAGCACCATCCTTCACAATCATCGCACTGCATGCCGATTTCCGCAGGGTATCAACAGGCTTGGTGTTGGCAACTGTTTTTTTGCACTGTCTGGTCATCAGGGGTTTTCAAAAAGAAACTAGACACGAAAAACGCACAGAGAAAAAAACTGTTGACCAGAAAAATTGAAAAACTGTGGATTGTTAGGTTCAAGGATGCAAACAAATACTAAAAGAACCAATGTACTCAAAAGTACCAATATTGAATTACTTTTTAAAAAATATACTTTTAGCGAACACTTTAACTGAAATAAATTCAGTTGAGGTGAAACCGTATGTTCTTCAACTGTAGGATTGCGGCCCATGCTTTCCTAATCCTTGCCTTCACGTCTGCATCTGAGCCTCCTTGTTCATCGATAATCCTTCCCATGTATGTGAAGGATTCTACATCTTCCAGAGTTTCGCCATCAAGAGTGATTGGATCGCTGTTCTCCGATTTGAATCTGAGGACCTTGGTTTTCGCCTTGTGTATGTTGAGGCCTGCTGATGCAGAGACTGCTGCTACACTGGTTGTCTTTATCTGCATTTGTTCTTGTGTGTATGCGATAGGAGGGCTAGGTCGTCTGCGAAGTCTAAATGGTTTAATTGGTTCTGGTCTGTCCATTGTATGCCATGTTTTTCCTCAGATGTCGAAGTCTTCATAATCCAGTCGACCACCAGAAGAAAAGGGAAGGGGGAGAGTAAACAGCCTTGTTTGACTCCGGCCCCTACTTGGAATGCGTCTGTCAGCTGTCCTCTATGCACTACTTTGCACTGTAGTCCGTCGTATGAGTTCCGGATAATGTTGACAATCTTCTCAGAAACTCCGTAGTGTCGAAGAAGTTTCTATGACTTTCTTCTATCTACACTGTCAAATGCCTTTTCATAATCAATGAAGTTGATGTATAGTGACGAGTTCCACTCAACTGATTGTTCGACGATGATCCGTAGTGTTGCAATTTGGTCTGTGCACGATCGATCCTTACGGAATCCAGCCTATCGATCTTGAAGTTGGGTGTCTACTGCGTCTTTCATCCGGTTCAGCAACACTATGTTAAAGACCTTCTCTTGTAATGACAATAGTGTAGTTTTTACAATTGCTCAGATCTCCTTTCTTTGGAATCTTGACGAGGCGCCCTTCTTTCCAGTCCATCGGCACTTGTTCCTCCTTCCAAATCTTTTTGAATAGAAGATAAAGCATGCTTGTGGTTACTTAGATGTCTGACTTCAGTGCTTCAGCTGGTGTATTGTCCGGTCCTGCTGCTTTCCCTGTCTTGATTTGTCTGATGGCCATTCTGATTTGTTCCGTCGTTGGTGGATTGACATCTATTAGAAGATCTGTGTGAGCCAGTCCATGGCATACGATTAACTGATGCGCGTTGGTTGTACTCGACCCTGGCAGGGATCGATGATTTGTCCGATATTCAGTGACCCAACTGCCGGATGATTTGGCTAGGGTTCAGCGACACTTCACTGGCCCTACAATAATCCCCCACCAGATTCAACGGCCGTATGAATCACTATCATGCATATTGGTAGTCGCGCGTTGAAGATTGTCCAACGATTAGTATGAATAATCCGGTGTTGCCGAGCTGTAAAACAAATTGAAATGAGGCAGCAGAAACTGGTCGGGAAACAGTAAATCATAATGTTACTAGGACGTCGGTTGAATAAAAGCGATTAACCATAGAAATAATAGAAAAAAACATAACGTTTTAAAGTTCTATCAAGTTGCGTTGAAATAGATACTTCTGACAAATGACTGAGTTCCTCAGACGAGAAGCGTTAATCTTGCTGCAAGAGTGATGATGCTATAATGACAGTAGGATATGTGTTTTATCAATCGATGTCGATGTTTGTACCGTCATTGGTCTAGAGTTGAAATTAAGACAGTGTCTTTGACAGCTATTAATTAGTATCGAATTCTAGTTATATCTATATTTATTAGACTAACCGTAATTACAGAAGTATAACCGTGAAGAGAAGTCGTGATT